ATTGATTTGGCTTGCGACAATACGTTGAAGACAAAGTTTGGCTGCACGGAACTAACTGATTTTTGGATATCAGTAAAAGATGAATATCCGCTGCTGAGTGGTAAAGCTCTGCGCATCTTAATTCCATTTGCAACATCCTATTTGTGCGAAGCTGGGTTTTCGGCGGTCGCTGTAATAAAAAGTAAATACCGTGCGAAAATTAACGTGGAACAAGAAATGAGGGTAGCTGTGTCCAGTTTGATTCCGAGATTTGAAAAGTTGTGTAATGAACAAGAACAAGCTCATTTATCCCATTAATTACTGTAATTATTTTTTCAATAAATTGTTTGTGAATTTAAAGTATGTTTCATTATTATTAAATTAACCCAACCATATCAACTGCAACAGAAACCGTATTAACTACAGTTAAAGTTAGACGTTAAATCAATATTTTGACTCAGGGCGCCGCGGAAAAATTCTAGTTTATTAAGTGCGCCGCGAACTAAAAAACTTTGGGAACCACTGGTTTATAAATAAGGAATTTTCAACAATCGACCGAATATAACAGAAAAACTTGGAACGGGATCCTACAGCGTACGAAAATAACAATTAATACCATATATAAAAGGATTCTCTGAAAAACTTAAAACGATAGGTAATAAATTTAACATTTTAACAACATTCAAAACAACAAACATATTGAGATCTATTTTATCTAAAACTAAACGTCACAATAAATAAGAAGAAAAAACAAAGAATTGTATTTATAAAATACCTTGTGAATGGGATCATTTTTATTTAGGTGAAATATTTATTCAATCGAATTCGGGACAAGGCTAAAAAAATACCTGAAATTCGGGACTTTTCAATGAAAATCGAGCCATTTTTTATTGTTTTTTTTTAACAAGGACTGTAATAGGTACCATCATTTTATTGATTATTTAACATATTTAACAATGATATTTTTGATGGGATTAAGCCATAATTGGTTTCGACTTCCAATCCGGAAATCATTCTCAAAAAAGGAAAAAAATTATAAAATCAACTAATGTTGAATTTCCGTGTTAATGTAACCTTAGGTTAATATAATAATGTAATTATCATTACAACCAATTATTGTGGCATAGTTCCATAAAAAATATAATTGTTAAACATGCCTCAAGAAAACAGCTTCAAAACATTTAAAAAGCAATCCCTTCATATTTTAAATGGACCTCAACGAACAAAAATGCAATGCTTATTTTTTAAAATCATATTTGTCTTGCGATGAAATTTGCTTTAACAATGACGGCGACTCAAAAACTTATAAAAATCAACACGTTCATATTTAAAATAAATTTTACGAACAAAATATTTTTTAAGCTTTCAATGCCAAGTTGCGATTTTTCGGCTGTCCATATTCTTGTAATTAATGAAAAAACGCACTCGACGTTCACAGAAGTAGCTGGTAAACAAAAGATGAATTCAATAACTTGTGCAAAGCGTTTGTACGGAACGTGATTCTTTTCGAAGTGTTGGAAGCATTCGACCCAGCGTTCATGTGGTTTTGTGTGATTTTTCTTCCAAGCTGTAATTTTATCACTGGTCACAAATTTCTTTACATAAGTATCCGAACTCGTCAAATAATTAATATTGTTTTCTTTTACGCTAATCCAATTATTCTCTGCCATGAATTTATTCGTTGCCTTGACTTCATTCCAATTCGGCTCGGTAGCGAGTGTGTGAATCCAAATACCGAGGTCCGCATCTGCTTTGTTTATTTCTTTTAATACAGCTGACGACAGGAACTGTGAATCCACTCTTGTTTTCAACGACTGCAGGAAATTATCCAAAGTCTGTGTCATTTCATTGAAAAAAAAAACAATTTCAATTCAGGTTAGATTCAAATATTTAAGTCATGAAATGATTCAAAATAATTGTTGAACACGTTTCTTGAGATGGTTTTACATTAGGATGCAATTTTCGTGCTAGGCAAGAGACAAGCAAGACATATTATGCAACAACTCATGCCCACGTGCTATTTTCATGCACTTCCTGTGCTATAGGAAAAATTAAAACGTGTTAAATTTTTTATACTATTTTGCTGCAAGTTGCTATCAAAATTCATGTTGCCAGTATAATAAAATTTATAGTTTAGAACAAACCTGAACATTATCACATATTACTGTGTAAGCTTACAATATTAATTATTGGATGTAATAATTTGTAATTTATATTTTAATATGTTTAATGCTGGACTGAAATTTCCAGGTGAAATATCTAAAGTTAATGTTTTTGTATCTTTCTTTTGTTGTCAACAATGAAAGTGTTATCAAAAATTGCACAGAAAACCAAGTATATGTATTGTACTAGATCAGACAAGCAGATGACTAGACAAAGACAGCAATGTGAGCGAAGAAATTAAAAGAAGAATAGTGCTTGCCAATAAGTGCTATTATGGCTTGAGAAAACAGATGGCCCCAAAACTACCCAGAAAAATTAAAATCACCATATATAAAACACTAATAAGGCCAGTGTTAACATACGGGTCAGAAACGTGGTCACTTACACAGAACGACCAAGAACTGATTAGACGTTTCGAGAGAAAAATTCTAAGGAAAATATTTGGAGTCCAAAAACAGGGTTTGTGGCGTAGGCGCTACAACTTTGAATTATGCAGAAGTTTTGGGGAACGTGACGATGTAAAATTTATTAAATTAGCACGTCTTCGATAGATAGGACATGTAATTAGGCGAGATGAAGATGCAACGATCAGAAAAATTTTCGACCGAAGAGGACCAGTGGGAAGACGATCCAGAGGAAGATCAAAACTTAAGTATCGAGATAACATAGAGGATGATCTAAAATCCATCGGAGTTAAAGCATGGAGAAAAGTTGCCAGAGACAGGGGCGAATGGAGATTGTTCTGAAGAAGGCTTTGGCTCATGACGAGCTGTAATGCCACCGATGATGATGATGATGATGTTTTGGTATATTTCTTTTGTTCACAACAATGAAAGTGTTATCAAAAATTGCACAGAAATAGCTTTGATGTAAACAAGCTAGGCAAGAGATATGCCATGCAAGACAGACTTGCAAAGCATGGGACTTGCATTGCCTAGATGTTAAGCTGCTTTTACCTGGTCAAGAATGAATAACAACCAAACTTTCGAACATGGATCCTTGAAAAAATCCTTCAGTAATTTTGGGCTGTTTGAAGTTTCTAGAAAATACGCCTTTAATTCATCATAAACTCTTGATATTGATTGCACACATATGAACATTTTCAAAAAGCGAGTTCTCCCATAACCAAGAATTTTCTGGTATTCAACTTTTGCGGTTTCACAAAACTCTTTCAAATGTGTGACACAAACACATTGCAGTCACATTGCAAAGTGTTGTGAATAATGTCAGCTACACAACCGATTCACATCAAATTTGGATTCACCTGTGACTTTAGTTTTGTAGTAAACATTGTTTTGCCCACCTCGATTTTTACCACCAAAATTAGTATTAGTATTATCGCCGCAGAATGAAACCAACTTTCTTGAGGTGTTGTACTTTTCAAGAGTGTTCCTCAAGAGCTGCATAATAATATCATCGGCGGTAAAATTCAATATTTTCGTCTTCATGCCTTCTAATAGAACGGAATATCTTACCACAACCGGGAATATCTTTACATTTCCATAGTTAGATGCATCGGTAATTATACTGACGTTTATTACGTTGTTCATTGCATCAACCAATTGATTTTCGATATATGGACCAAAGACATTTTTAACAATTGCCTCACATTTAGTACTAGCTGCCTGAAATTGGGCAATTCCGAAATATTTTCGATGATCAATCAGCTGAGCGAAAGTTTTCATTTTCCTTAATCAAATGATACGCCCAAACACGTTCCGGAGCTGCTGTCTCTAAACCAATATTGCTCGATGTTGCTGTTACCTTAAAAAATCAGTCATTTTTTTGCTGCTTGTCGCGGAGCTGATACCACCTTGGTGTTTTTCACTTTTGATGCGGATGTGACTCACTACATCCGCTCTAGCACTGTTGGCGATCGAAAATTCGGATCCACAAATATCACATTTTACGTCACTGTTACTATTTTTTTTTCCAAAAAGGGAATTCTTGCAATGTTTTATTAAAAGTGCAATAGCGTTTTCTCTTTTTACTTTCTTGTTCTGATTCCATGTTAACAATAGAATGGAATGAAAAATGTAATGTCAGCTAAACAATGCTTTGGACCTTTGTAGATGATCACTAATCTATTTAAGGCTTCAAACTGATTAGTGACATAAAGTAAATGTTTACATAAAATCATATTACAACGCGCAGATTTGATCTTGGTTCAAAGCACGTAACGGTTTGGAAATGAATAATTTATTCTTCAAGAATATATCGCAAATGAAATCAAGAAGTTTGTTTACCTACTTAAAATTGTTGACAAAACCGAAAAAAAAAACATTTATTAGCTATCATTACATAGTTGAATACAGCACACCTCGGTCGGCATGATTGATGTGTATACAATACATGAATTGTTATCGTTTTTAAATAATCTTTTCAGAAGAGGATAATTAAAATACAGAAACGAAAAAATGCATAGTTTGAGTTTTCCTATTGCCTAATACCACGATAAAATGCATGCGATTTGGATGTGGTATTAGTATTATACTCTAAAAATTTTCAACTTTTTTTCGTCCCAACGATTCAATTTGATGTGAATTCTTAAAAGAATAACGTAAACATTCGGATGGCCCGGAAGCCTTGTCCGGGACGCCGGGACACGGCTTCTTAATTCGGGCCATGTCTCGGATTTTTCGGGCTTGTTGGTCACACTATAATATATGTCTGAATTGTCAATATTAACGAGCCAGATAAAATTAAATTATTAGCAAAATTTTTCATTAAGTATCAAAAAATAAAATTTGTTTAATTTATGAACGTTTTGTATTTTGAAAAAGATTTCCGAAGTGTAACAGTGTTACAATTTTCATAGTAATATTTATTAATCATTTACTGGTTATTTTATATTATAGGTGGTAGAGTAATTTTGGCATGCAGAAATATAAAAAAAGCAAATGAAGCCATCGAAGAAATCAAGACAGAGTGTATAGGTCAACAAAACTTAGGAGAACTACTAGCTGTATGTCTGGACCTCTCCAGTTTAAAGTCTGTTAGATCATGTGCTGAAGAATTACTCAAAACTGAAAAACAAATAGATATATTGGTCAATAACGCTGGACTATTTGGAATTCCATATGGGAAAAGTAAAGAAAACTATGAATTGAATTTTGCAACAAATCATTTGGGGCATTTTTTATTTACTTTGTTACTGATGCCAATAATAATAAAAAGTGGTTCCGCCAGAATAGTTACTGTTTCTTCAAGATTGCATATATGTAAGTTATTTTTATAAATAATATGATGTTATAATTTGTGGAATTTGTTGACCTTGTCATAGGTAAAATTACAAAAAAATAGTTACAATGTTCCTTACAGTTTATATAGTTAAAAAAGCTTCTAAAATGATATTTCGCTTCTAGTGGGCATTTAAAAAGTAATTATATCAGTGTTCCTATCATTCTCACCTCCATGACTTCACACATAAAAAATATCTTCTATCTACGTCCTCTATTCCTATATTTTTTGGCATTTTAATTAATTTTACATGTTGTACTTTATCTTATGTCTTTTCGAAGCCCACGAAGCATGCAAATACATCTTTTCTTTGATTACGGTATTTTTGTAATATAATATTTAGCGCAAAAAGTGCCTCCCTTGTCCCCTAGCATTTCTAAAACCAAATTGGGTATCTTAGAAAAATCTTAAGAGTGTGGCTCATTAGGCTAATTAATCGATATTCTAAGCATTTTCTAGCATTGTGTTTTCTATGTACAAATATGTACCTAAATCAGTCTGCGGGAATCACTTCAGTCTTATATATTACATCAAAAAATTTTACAACAACTCAGTTGGTGTATCATCTGGACCACATGCTTTTCTAATTTTAGCATTTTTTAATGCGTGTTCTACATCTGATTTTATAATTTCTGGGCTGTCAGTACAATTTTCAGTAATTTTATTTTGTCATCTTCAAACAACTCTGATATATACAGTTGTAATATTCTTCTTATTTACAATAATTTTGTTGTTATTGTTAATAAGAACAGGGAGAACTCGATTTTTAAAAATAAGTTGCTAATTTCTTTTACATTTTTGTGCGCATTAAATAAATCGTGCCTATATATCACATTCTCCATTTCGTCGCACCTTTCTTTCATCCATTTTTTGTTGGCTAATTTTCTTTCCCTTTTAATTCTTCTCTGTAGATGTCTATATTTTGTTTTATTTAATTTTATAAGTCGACGTTGTTCCATCAATTTCAAAATATCTTCTGTCATCCGTTTGTTTTTCCTAATTAAGTTACTTCTATAATCGTTGTTTGTGAAGATTTCGTTAACTTGGTTTTAAAATTCATTTTATAGTTGTTCCCCAATGTCCTCTAATCTATTGTTAAATTCTTTTATAATGTTGTTTTTAATGCCTCTATCGTCAAAGTTAATTATATTGGTTTTTGTCATTGGATTCGTTTTAACCTTAGTTTAATATCTGCCACAAGGAGTTTGCGGTCAGATCCCATATGTTTTTCTGGAAATGTAGTGACTTTTTTGACGGCATTTCGGAGGCGCTCAATTACAAGTATATATTTGGTTTCTTGAATACCCAGGGATGCTGCCATCATCAAATGGGTCATTCATACATATTCATACATTCCAGTATATAGTCGTCGCTTGGGCAGTTTACACCAGTTGTTTGCAATAACTTTGTTTGCACACCAGTGGTTTGGATCATGTCGTTATCTTTACAAAATTCATACAATATGTCCTCGATCGTTTATTTTTCTGTTCGTGTATTTAGCTTCTGTAAGATGTCTAGGATTTGATAATAAATTTTTTTTTATCATCATCATATTTCCTATCTGTCCTAGTCGGGGCATATATTAATTATTATTATAGTTTTTTTTATTAATTTAGATAATTATTCCAAATTTTTTTTAGCGGTATCCAGTCTGGACTTTAGTGACTTACATTATGAAAGAAGAACATATGGTGCTGTAAAAGCGTACTCTGAATCAAAACTGGCAAATATTTTATTCATGAATGAATTGGCGCGGCAATTTAAAGGTAAATATAATAACATACTTTAAACTAAAATCACTACATTGCTTTGCAATTTAAAATACATGTCGAAAATTCTATTTTATTTTTGATTGTGACAAAAACTTATAAGTATTTTAATTTTTTTGGTTAAGATGTTTATCTATTAGTAGTGAATACTTGGGAAAATCTATTTCTATGAAACCATATTTTAAAATTGTAGAAGGGATAATTATATATAATTTACAAGAAATTACATTATAATGCAGAAAGTGAATTATCCAAGACTAGGCAATAAAATGACTGACTGGCAAATTTTCAAAATTAAAATTAAAGTTTTGATCTATTTTTTTACATAGAGAAGATCAACTAGATGAAGAAATTGAACGCTTTGTAAAAAGTATCCAACACTCAGTATGAAATAATACACCTGAAACTATTCCTAGAACAAAAGGTCACAATTACCCAAAAGAAATCAGGAACCTTATCACAGGACAAATATTTTAATTTTAAATGAGCTAAAAATCACTAAACGGGGCAATCCAGCAAATCTATCTACAATAATTTAAAATACTTTTATTGAAATGCTACTGGAAACATTTATTATCCAAGAAAAGATAAAAGGCCGAAGATCACGAGGAAGATCTCCAAAAAAATGGATCGATAAAATTACAGAAAGAAATGTGCATGAGTTAAAAGAAATGGCCAGAGATCTTTGACCACTACATGACCACTACACTTCCTCCGAGAAGTCAGGATGGAACAGAGAGATCATTTTGAAACTTTATAAGAAGCCGCTGCTTAAGAGGCTGAAACTAATTATGGAAGATAAGAATTTGATCCCACAGTTTGGTTTTTGGGAGTCATTCGACAATAGTTCGAAAAAAGTTCATCGAATTACTAATTTTGAAAAATAATCGATTGCGACCATTAAGAACTTGTTTCCTCCCTGTGTCATCGAAAGTGGACCTAGAATATCCACTGCAAGTCGTTCAAAAGTCTCTCCGGAAAGATATTGGGTCATTTTACCACGACTTCTTGTTATAGGGTCTTTTCTACCATTACATAAATAGCAGTTCTTACAACAATCTTATATATCTTAGCGACAATTGATCCAGTGAAATCTGTCTTGAACTCTGGTAAGAACTCCGAAATGTTCTCCAAAAAGGCAAATTAGCAACCCTTACTGGAATTATATCATTTACGTTAACGAGGCACCTGGCTGTCAAAATTCCGTCACTACTGTGTTTTTCGCTTTCCACAACGCCGGGATGTAGACCTTCAGGTTTTTGACTTAGTTTCGCCAGGACGATGCTTTCAGAATTTTGAGGAATTTCTTCACTCACTATAACTCTTACTTGAGGTATCCATTCTTACAAATTTAGGACAGTTTCATTTAAGAAAATTTTATTTTGAATATCTTTAATAAATTTGGTCTGCATAATATCCATCCCAAGGAAGCATTCATCTATAACCTTCGGCCAGGCGCGCCCTAAATAATTACATCATCAGGCGCTTCGCAGCAATTTGCTGCCATGTAGTTTCTTATTGTTTTCGACATTTTAATTATTGATTAACTGTATCGTTATTTATTTTGTCAAAAAATAAGAACGCTTTATTAATTTAACTAATTTTAATAAATTGTACAGAAAAAACTTATAATTTATTTGATCATTATAATTAATACATACAATATTAGATTAAGAATGTCTTTTACAAGTGAATGCACTACATTGTGTACATTTCATAGAGGTATCCGACTTGATTTTTTCACTGTAACAATTGCAGCATCTACCACGTTTAGTAGGATTTTCGTCTTCTTGATGGGGTACTGGTTGCTTCGGAAACATCCTGGACAGGAACTCGGTTATATCACGTGGAAGTGTTTTAATTTGTGATCGTGTATGAAGGTGTTCTTTTATCAAGTTCATTGCAAGGTTTTTGAGAAAATGTCTCCTTTTGAGTGATTTTCCAGAATTTGCAGCGAAATGTAGAACAAAAGCATTTATGCCTTCAATATTCATTAAATTATAGAATATAACACAGGGCCATCTTTTAGTAATTCGTGAAACACTGTATGATGAACATAATTTATATACAGTCTCAACTCCTCCTTTTGTTTTATTGTAATCTAAACTCAACTGTGGTTGATTTATAATATGACTATATTTATAATATAATAATATGACTGACTTACTTTTACGCGACACGTAAGAGGTAATCATATAATCTTTTTGAAATCCAAATATGCTAGATTGAACTGCCCTTGATTTATGTGGAAGAAATTCTTGAGGAATTTCTCTTTTGTTTTTCTTCATCTTCGTCATTTCTACGGACTATATTATATGATACTTGGAAGTCATTATTTTAGGGGAGATCTAGAAATGCTTTTTGCCGATGCATGCAATATTTTTAATTTGTATTTTATAATATAACTTATTTTTATTTCAAATATTCCCATTTAACATAGTAGATAATATAGAAATGCCACAAGAAAATAGTTTCGGAACCACTGAAAGATCACTGAATTGTTTTTTTTTTCAAAATTAGTATAAGTCAATAAATTAATTAAGTATACGCATTGTTATTGTTTCAGAAAAGAATATAAATAATGTAAATGTCTACTCGTTACATCCAGGCACAGTAAGATCAGAAGCGGGTAGGTATTTAGATGACTCATGGTTTCGAGGAAGTTACTGGATTTGGTCGAATGTACTTGGATTGTTTGGAAAAAGCACGAAACAAGGTGCACAAACATCAATATATTGCTCATTAGATGAAAAATGTGCACACGAAACAGGACTTTATTATGCAGAATGTAAACCAGTATCCCCATCGCAAGCTGCCAGAAATGAAGCAGCAGCGAAAAAGTTATGGGAGGTTAGTTGGAAATTAGTTGGTTTAAAAGAAGACTTTAATCCTTTTAGAAAATTATGAATGGGATTTAAGAATACTTATTAAGTTTAATAGCTGTTACAAATTTTTCCTATAAAATGAACATAAGTTTTCCTTGCAATTCCTTTATCTTAGTATTATAGTTTACATTTGTATTATTTGACTCATTTTCATTGTTTTAAATAGTATATAAGTTTTTATAAGTCTAAATATATTCTTGCAAACTAAAATTTTTATTTTTCTTCACAGATAGGTAAATTGCTAAATATGATGTTGATATGGGGTTAAGCCCAATTGATTGTTAAAAAAATCATATTTTTAAATAACGTTTGACGTTTCGATTCCACTCCGGAAACAGTTTTACCCTTTGTACCCCGACAGTACGTCTGAGTAATACTGTTTTCAAAGCACATTATTAAAATAATGAATAATAGATTCTTTCTTCAGATTCGGCGGTACTTAAAAGTATACATTATTAGATGCGTCTAATACTTGTATGTCTCAAAAAGTAACAGTTATTCTAACAATAATAATAAATTCAGTCATAGTTGCCGCCTATGGACTACCTAAGCTCTGACGTCACATTGGATGGGGATTCTAAAAACATTTCCAAACATTTCTAATTTGTGTGTATTTGTCACAGAAGAAGTTGGAAATATTGGTTTTTTTAAATTGTTTATAAAATAAATAAGGACTCTTGGTTCATTCATTCTGTGCGATTGGCATTATTTGTTGTTCGTGTATTTGTGACGTAAAAATAATTAAAGTATTAAGGTATTTATTAGAGAGGATTTGTTGATGAGGACAATACTTAAGATGCCGTGAACTGACCGAGTCACAAATGAGGAGGTCCTCAGAACAATGAATAAGAACCGAGAGATACTGACCACCATCAAATCACGAAACTTACAATTCTTCGGACATATTATGCGAAATGAATCCAAATATGCTCTCCTTCAAGCCATCCTGCAAAGAAAAATATTTGGAAAACGAGGTCCAGGAAGAAGAAGAACATCTTGGTTAAAGAAGCTCAGAATCTGGTTCAATACAACATCTGTGCAGCTTTTCCGCGCTGCTGCAGATAAGATAAGGATTGCCATGATGAACGCCAACATTCGTAACGGATAGGCACATCAAGAAGAAAAAGGTATTTACTATGAATGTTTATACCTTAAGGTTATGCTATTGTTTGATTAAAACTTTAATTACTTTTTACTGCATTTCAAGGTATTTTGTTGTTGTTTTTATCAGGGTTATTTCAAAATAAATCATTGAATTTATTTATGAAGCTAAAAAATATTTAAATTATTGATTTATTCTTTTTCAAATGCTAGTGATTGTATCCCCTAAAAGATTAAATATATTCGGTTTCTCGTAGTTGAAATAGTTAATAGTAGTTTTGTTGTGATTACTGAAAAATTCAGTAATGCTGGATATCTTGAACACATGTCTACTAGCCAGATCTAAAAAGTAAACTTAAAAAACTATTATTAACATTCAAATTTTTTTTTTTTAAACTCATTGCGGCAATTTGATAGAAAGTTTTTTCACAGAATGTTATATTACAACTTAAACTACGAGAAAACGAATATCTTTAATCTTTTACATTACAAAATCACTGGCAAAGAAAAAAAGAATAAAATATTAATGTAAATATTCAACTTCTTAAATAAATTCAATAATTTATTTATTTATTTTAAAATAACCCTGATAAAAACAACAAAATAACTTGAAATACAGTAAAAAATAATTAAACTTTTAATCAAACAGTAACATACCATCAAAATATGAATATTCATTGTAAATATCTTAATACTTTGATATTCTTACCTCACAAATTCACGAACAACAAATAATACCAATTGCACAGAATGAATGATCATAACCACAATGAATAGTTTAGATATCATTAGTATAAACGATGTCTACATTACAAAAAAAACGCAAAAAAATAGTTCTCATAATTTTAATAGTTAAATACAACTCTAAATAGAAATGGGGATAATAAGACTTATTATGTTTAAGTAATAAGAAGGTAAGGGATGAAGACCATTTTCAAACCACCAATGTATTTAGAGTTTTGAACGTTGGAATTAGGTAATAAAGTCATCAAAACCATTCTTTTGATATACATTTATTTGATTTGCTTCATAGTTTAATACAACATTGGCCAAAAATAGTTCATGCTTAAGACATTTTGAATATATACAGTCTCGTTAAAGATTTAAGTTTTGGTCTATCCTAGAGTTCTAAAAGATAACATTCACTGTATATTTCAACATTACAACGAATACGTTATATAGGGAGCATCTAGTAAGTCAGTAAAAGAAAATTTATTTTGTGTAAAGAAAAATTTCATTATAAGACTAATATAAAACTAACACTAATATTGTTTCCGAAATGGCTTGTCATTTTTTAGTAAGAATTTAACCTGTGTATTTTATCGTAGTTTTTTTAACGAATTTCTCAATATCATCAAAACATTATCTCCATTATACCACGTTTTGTTTCCTTGTGTGTTAAATATTCTTTCCCCAAATTACTCAACCACATATTAGCATAGACATTGTTAACGTAAATTAACTGTAAGTTAATTGCAAATTTAGTGTCAATAAATTGATTGTATAACCTCAAAGAGTACTGAGTTTACTCGTTGAGGTTATATGGGACAACGTGCCCTACATATCGTAAGATAAGATCATACTTGTCATCAAGTAAATATGTTACTTCTCTCGATGTTTGGAGTAGACCATCACTTGAGAATGAAAGAAAAGCTTTCTATGATCAATTAGGTGGCATACTGAGTGTTATACGATTAAAAGAGAAAGTCATAATAGAAGGTGATGTAAATGCACATTATGTGAGTCAATCCTGAACAGGATGTTCAGCAGTACATGAAGGAATAGGCTTTGGAATTAGAAATGGAGCTGAAGATGATATGTTGAAATTAGTTATAGCATTAGATATGGCGATTGTTAACACATTCTTTCCAAAGAAGAAAATACAAATTACCTACAAAGTGGTCAAAATCACTAGGTACACAGTACTAATATTTCCTGGTTTTTGTATGCTCATGGTGTAGTATTAGTAGGTAATACTGAAAGTGATCTAGAACAAAAACTGAAACAATAAAAACAAGATCTCGGGGAAAAAGTTTACAAGAAGGAAGGACAAAACAAAGTATTTGGAATGTTGATATAAAGATGGAGTTACTACAAATAAAATGATAACTTCGTATGGAAAATTATTATAAAAAGGGTAGTATTTTCTTTTCACCCTGTAAATCATAATCATCGAAAACGGTTAATTCATTTTTGCCTTTTTAATATGACTAAACAACTTTAAGAGTATGTTTATAATTATTGACTGCTGTTTAAAAAAGGATAAAAATAAAAATGAGTATATTAGAAGACTGGAGGCGGAGCCAATTGATGCCAATATGAGAGAGCATAGATTAATCGGGCATATTCAACGTTGAGACATTAGTCCCCAATACGAATAATTGCTGATTGCAAGTTCATGGGAAGAGTAGGAGAGGAGTAGTAATGAAAATCTAAGGAGACTAGGACTGGCAGAGAAGGTACAGAGAATTATGATACGTATACATTACTTTACTACTACTACTAGTTTACTGACTTATTAAAAGCATCCCCTGGTATATATATATATATATATATATATATATATATATATATATATATATATATATATATATATATAATATTGTACCTAGTATATATTGCTTAAAAATAATGTAATGTATATTTTGGAACAATTTCTTACAAATATCTTGCTAAATAAGATGATCTTGTAGAGTTTAATAGTGATTTAAATATTAAGGCAATTTGAATTTCAAAAAGATATGACAATAGATCGTTGTTTGAATAATATCAATAACTTTTTAATGTGAAAAAAACATAATATGCTAGAGTATAAAATACGATTTTACTGGAAAATTTATACACTAAATGAATATTTTGTTTAGAACCAGTAACTAACATTTTAGTCAAAAGAAAATAGCCATAATAAAGTTATGTTATTATGAATTAATTAGTTACTTATTTACATAGTAGTAGTTTTAGTTAACTGTGGCTTTGTAGATAGCTATAACCAATATATTTTTTTATTTTTAAATGTTGTTTACTTTAAGCTTTGGTCTTCCTTTTGATCTATTTCCTACTGACATTTGTTCGCTTATTTTGGTCTGGTATTTTGTGGATAATTTAATATATCTTCTTTGCCTGTTGCCGTTTTCTTTTTAGCCTTTCTTCAAAGGTAGCGACTTAGCTTTTTCCATTTTTTTAGTCTCCAAGTTTGAGAATCATATTTGAGTACCGGTATTATTAAGGTTTTATATATTTGGCATTTCATTTTTCTTCTGATCTTTCGTTTTTATTCGTGATGAATATGCGTCTCTTCAATCTTCCTCAAACAAAACCAGACCAATAAAAATAAAACGTGGGATAAGGCAAAGAGATACATTGTCACCGAAATTATTCATAACGCCATTAGACGATGGTCAATTGGGACCACAGAGGAGTAACAATAGACAGCGAAAAACTTAACCATCTCTGGATGGAAATTACTTTGACTCTGGAAAACTGTGAGTCACACTTAGGGCCAACATACCAATTAGCCTCACAAGAAAAGTATTTGACCAATGCGTATTACCGGTCATGACCTATGGCATGGGCTGGCTCATATATATGGGCTGGTATTTTTTGCTATCGACTAGTAGGACCAATTTTTTACTTGACAATTTGCCTGGCGTAATGTATTTCCAATTACTGGAAGAGGTGATTGATGTTGCCTTGACTAATAAAATTAAAAATGATCTTAAATGCAAGAAAGATCATTTAATTTTTCAACAGAACGATGCTACTCCGCATTATGCTTTACTTATTAGTCAATATTTAGACCAAAATTTTCCACGGCATTGGATTGGTAGGAGAGGCAGCATAGAATGGCCTCATACACCACCAGATTTATCTCCCCTGGATTTTTTTGTGGAGACACCTAAAAAGTAAAATCTATAGAACACCACCTGTATCTTTAGAAGGTTTGCGTCAACGAAACGCTTACGAATCACTCCACAAACGCTTAGGAATGTGAAAC